TTCAAATATTTTGTCAATAAAAACATATGTACAGAGTGGTTCGTAACATGTTGAAAGACGAACTCTGTATCCATATGGCGTTTTCAGCATACAAAGACTGAAAAACATTGATTGTTTTGGTGGAAATAACTTCATATAAAAAGTGTTTTTTCTTAGACTTCGCGATTGAGATTTGTAATTTGCGAAAAACAGATAAACAAGGATGACGTTTCAATCTCACGAGTGTAAGCATCAAAGCAAATGGGTTTCAAAAGAACGTTGAAACCTGTTTACACAGATGTGCTTATAATTGACGCTCTTAAATGTTCTCGTAAACAAACATAAGCACGCTCCTTTGTATAAGAATTACTCCTGGAAGTTGCTGGATGTATTACAAGCAGGTTAACAATAGCTTGGGAGCGTATGAATAACAATTATTATGAAATAGCGCAAATTTTAATGAGATTTTATGGTTAAGGAAAGGGTTGTTTTGGTTTTCTTTAAAATATCTCAATGTTGTTCTCGTAATGGTTATACAAATTTCATGTTAAAAATAGCATCAATATAACCTAAAAAATTCTAATATGACAGTCAGTCTGTACGAGTAGAATCTCGAAGAACTACAGATTAATTGTAACTTACTAAACATATGTTTTCATCAAGTCTTAAATTTGAATTCAACGTAAGCTGATTGGGTGTATTTGGATAACATGTTTGTTGACCCTTGTGGACGTGTCCACGAGACGTCTTTTCGGACTGGAACCGGAGGTGGCCGCCAGTCGCCTGAGACCTATGGTCATTGGTTCGAATCCCAGACTTGATTATGTATCCTGGTTGCTCACCTCACATCTGTGTCTATGACTTTCACCCGGTAAACATGTAACACCTGAATCACTCCGGTATGTCCTCCTACATCAGTGTAATACGCCGAGATATCCTGGAATATTGCTGTCTACCGTGTACAAGAACATTTAATTCTTAAGTCAAATCTTACTGACTGACTGAGTTTGGTTTTACGCCGCTTTTAGCAATATTCCAGCAATATCACGGCGGGGACACCAGAAATGGGCCTTACTCATTGTACCCATGTGGGGATTCGAACCCGGGTCTTCGGCGTGACGAGCCAACGCTGTAACCACTAGACTACCCCACCGCCCATCAAATCTTACTAGTTATACATGGATAGTCTCTACTACTTGGCATGACTCAAATGAAATTTGGAAATATATATATCGTAGCGTATACTCATTAAAAAATAAGTATTCTATTAACATGCGCTCACTTAAATATCGGAGCGATGGGGCAGTCTTGTGATTAAGCCTTCGCTCGTCACGCCGAAGACCGAGTTCGAATCCCCACATGGGTACAATGTGTGACGCCCATTTCTGGTATCACCCGCCGTGATATTCTGGAGTATTGTAAAGACTGTGCTTTATGGTTACATATTTGATTACATAGACATGTGACATTTGTGACAAAACTGGGGCGGTGGCATAGCCTAGTGGTTAAAGCGTTCGCTCATCACTCCGAAGACCAGGGTTCGATTCCCCAAATGGGTACAATGTGTGATGTCAATTTCTTGTGTCCCCCTCCGTGATATTGATGGAATGTTGCTAAAAGCGGCGTAAAACTAAACTCACTCACACGTGGTATAACTGTTTCTGATGACTGTTTCCCAGGATTCCACAACAAGCACAATTATTTCACAACAACTAGCAAATAACCTTCATATTTCTCGAACAGATTCTCTTTTATTTTTTTCGAAAATGTCCAAACATCCATCGCTTCACATATCAAATAGCAGAACCAAAAAAACGAGTTAGCAGAAGTGCAAATTATCGGCTAATCAAACATTTGATAGAGATCAACATACTTTTTTAACACTGAAAAACACGCTACCAAACGGGTTCATACTTGTGTTATCAACGTATTCGTGAAACGTAATTACAAGCGACGTCAAATGCCAAAACTGTTATTGATTTGAAAATGAATAGTTTATATGAATGGGCCATTTTAAAACATGCGCTGGTATCCTGGCACATGTATCAGAAACTAAGCAGAGGGCAAGGACGTTGATGTTCAGCAGCACATAAAGCTCACAGTATCCCAAGTACAGGCATTCATCCCGAAGTGACCTTGACCTAGAGTACTCAAACTGACGTCGACGTCGTATATCAATTCGACGTCTTATATCAGTTATTCGGCCTAAAGCACACGGACGCCTTCTTAATGTTCATAGTTCAACAGACAAAGCATTGGGCCTCGTTAACTTGCGAGACATGGATCAAGGATTGGTTCGAAGCTTAAGGATTCAACTGGTCGATACTGCAGATCCTGTATGTCAGGATAATCATGATGACTATAATCAGCTACAAAGTCACCAACATCCGTACCGAAAAATCTCACTGAAAGAATGAACATGTCATTCACCTGATGAAGGAGCCAGAATTAGCTCTGATAAAGAATTAAAAGAAGTTGTTATCCATAAAACGTGTCATGTATTTATGTTCGTCCAACTTCTAAATGACTTTTAGAAGTCTTTAAAACCCATTGGTCAACTTAGTCAACTCAGGATTGACACAATAATTTTGCGGATACATTCAGCCTCTCTGTTGACAGGTGTAGATGCATTCATGACATTCGATGATTAATGCGATGGCCTGCTGGAGAGATGATAACGATGATAATCTCCAAAATGATAATGAGTTTATTTTATGAGTTCTCCTCATATTACGTATGTTGCAGTACAGCTATGTTACCAAGTGCAACTGCAATATCATTTTTTGTGGTTTCAATCGATATTAAGATGAAAGGGAGCTCATTATCTATGTGTAAATGAAATTTACAGCATAAATAATTCGGGTAGGGTACAACCGAGGAGGGGCCTCTTTTCCAAATTTAGGAGACATGTTTATGAATTTTCCTCTACTAAGCCTACGATAGCTTAGTATTTCGTTACGCCGATGGTCCGAGTCCAAGTTTTCTCATGTGTACAATATAGTAGTACTGTAGTACTGCATCCCTTAGCCGTTCCAGGATCCCCTGATATCTTGGTCCGTTGACATACTGTGATACAACTGGCAGGATGTCCAAAGCGACGTTATATGCAGTTGTGTCTCCCGCCGTGGGACTGCTAAAAACTCAATTCACTTACTGACGTACTGACATGTGGGATCTAAAACGCATTGAAAACCAAAAGTTATTTCACCTTTATTTCATATAATACTGTAAACAAATCAGAAGAATCAATATCATGAAAACTACCGTATATGAAGAACGCTGTTATACAACTACTGCATTGCTGTGGTCAAAATAACCAAATGCGCTTAAGACAATCCTTCGTTTGTAGTTTAGTAAGCTTTGTCTCCGTGTCGACATGTTCCCTAAATTAGTATCGCCACCTTCTGATGTACACACTGTACGCATATCAACTGTGCATGTACGTCACTGATGGCTGCTAATGACGTTAATGTTTTTATGTCACACTTTCTTTATATTCTACTCGAGTTACATCTTCGGTAAAAATGTCTTCCGTTTTCTTGTTTGCGCAATATCGACGAGAGAAGACTCGGGAGTTCAACCGCCGAGAACAGGTAAATGTGTAAAGAGTTGTCCCCCTTACCGTGTACGAAAATGTGAAAAACGATATGGTTAATGTTGACACGAGTAAATGAAAACGATTATATAGAATTTTTCAAATGATAATGATAAGTAAAAGTACATAAGATCTATATATAGATTTGATAAATATTTGTTTTCAATCTCAAGACGAATAAATATTTCCAAATCAGGACAGCAATGACATGGAGTATAAGAGATGCCATTCAGCTGAACGTGATCGTTAAGCCTAGATACCAAGACAAAACGTTATAATTAGTATTAAACCAGCGTAGAAAACCGTATTATATTCCACAAGCGTTAAGATCATTACCAGCTATTCATACGTCCACGCAACATTATAATTAAAACTTCATTCACAAAACCTTCTTCAATACGTGCCACTTCATAACAGCATTTCATTCAACCACATTAGTGTATTATGTAATTAGAGCACTTCAAGACTGAACATGTTGCACCAACTTAGAGCTCTGTTTCTAGGTCTTAAGGTTTCGCTGGTCGCCTACCTTATACCAACAGGTTTGTGAAGATTAGTCCGTAAATAGGGACTTATTTGTATCGATCGGTGTCCCCAAGTTAGCAACACTAACAATTGCTTAGAACTAACAAAGACTCGCACCTGTTGCAAGTCGTAGTTGTAAAGCGTGTATTAATTCCCTCCTAATTGACACTGTGTTCAGAAAGTTATTGATGTTTATACACCGCAAGGAAATAAACACACGTGGTGCCTGTAATGAGGTTGGTGGAAGCTGGGCTTAATATTCTGGTTCTGGAAGATAGAACTGCCAGCATGATCATTAGGCTAGGAAAAAACCTAAGTATGATGCATGGGTTATTTTTAGTGACGTACTCATAAACTGGCCTACTTTCAGGCTAACGCGTGCGCGGAAATAAATATGTATATTTGTGTCTGTTAACTTATGACCTTGGAAGGTAGCTATGCATATATAAGGAGTCACAAGATCGAGCGTTATGAATAAATGGAAATATGTATTATACTTGGCGACTTGTCCACAATAAATGGAAATACAGTATATACCCGATTACTTGGCATTGTTATGTAAAACTATGTTATTAAATATTAGGGTTTAATATTTAAGTATGAACATTACGTAACGCTGCTTCAAGAGATGAGGTGCCCCACCCCCTTGCAACTCCTCTTCATTCAAAATTGAACTTTGACACGCACATAATCCATTCTGTGACGTGCGTATGTAAAATTTTCCTGGACCCCGTTTCATGTGGGCCCCCACTCTAATTGTACCCCGCCCTCCCCCCGTGAGCTAATTCAAAACTCCTACTGTGTCGCTAATCACCCCGCTTACCGGTAAATCTCGCAGAGCAGTTCAATACAGTTCCAAAGCTCCTAGCGTTTAACCTTTCACCACTCTTTGTTACAGGCAATTTGATTGGCTGGAAATCGGTTCGATCGTTTAGCGGCCAAACTGATCTTCATAATACAAGGCAAGAAGCGAGGCGATGTCTAGCGGAGACTAGCGAACTGCGATAACCAAGCGACCCCGTTTTGAACCCAAACTTTGGCCATGGAGAAAATAGCAGAAAGCCGAAAGTGTTTTAAGACAACTGTGTAATATAAGCCTGCAGAATCGAGTAGGTTGTTGGGGTTGTGTAGATCACTGAGATAGCCTCGTAGAGGGGGCGGCATGTTGGTAATAGGAATATACTGCAGCGCCAAACAGCCACACCGACCATGGCCCTATTCTTTGTGATCCTTGCAAGCATGACAGTGTCAGTGAACGCCAAACTACCACCAGCCCAAGGAGGTAAGTATGTCAATATACACCCGTTGTTCCTCATCTTAAGGCTAATGCCATACGCTCACTGAGACTGTGAACGATTGATAACAACATCTTTTTGTGAAGAATTACGTTAATCACCGTGTTATGTTTGTTTTCGTTTTCCATTGCGAACAAATTAATTGATTTATTTCATGACAGGTTGAACTGTGTTCTTGGTTTCTTAAAGCAGTTGTCACCTCTTTTCAATATAGCCATTGGGATCTATTTATATTTCTTTGGCGTGTGTGCGTCACACGTGCGTACACGCTGCCCTCATCGCCTCTTCAGCGTGTGTCATGTATATTCATAAACTGGTTACTTCTGACACCGATGTAAGTTATGGTGTGCCCTGCCTCTATGTATTACCTGTAGAGACACATGAGGCAGAACCCAGCCTGCCCTATTTTGACGTACTGACGTACTCTACATGCAGTTGACATTAGTGTGATGGTTTCTCCCGCTGTGAATTCTTTGCGAACACCGTAAAACATGCTAAGCTTAGCTGACTTGAAACCAGATACCTAGGACTGTTTAATAATGTTTTTATGGTATGTGGGATAGCTTCTTGTGATGGCACAGCGTAGGTACCTGGCGCTTAGGGGTCTCTCACTGGTATTTCATGTAAACGGTGTGAGTGTTACACCAAATTGTGGTCCTATAATGACAGTCCGCGTCTCTAGTGATCATTAATATAAGTAATCATGATAATAATGATTAGCAAGTCCGTCCCCATAGTGCTACATCATTATACTGTCAGTGGATCGATTTGCACATATTTTATCGATATCTACTCCCCGGGGAGTATATAACACAAGCTGGGTAAGTGTTAATCACATCACCGTTTTATCCTACTGGATACCCATTTACTGCGGGACGAAAAGAAGCTTATTCGAAATAAAGTCTTGAGTCCAAGGAAAACCACGTGTGCTACATTTGCAACATGTGCTTCAGTGTGGAACAGGACCAAGGCAAACTGCTGTCTCCCGTCCATCTATATCCCACGACCACTGTTGTTTAACTTCGCCGAATTTATGGCCTGTTTGCTGCACAAATTCATATTCATGCCCTGTATCCAACCATCTGACCCCTTAAAGACCAGGAATCAATAGGAGAACAATACTGATATCATGGTGGCCACTGTCACCACGGTGGGCTATTGATACCGATACTCTGTAAGGAGTGATATTGATATTCATTACCCGAAGAATGGTCATACTGGTACTCAGAATACTGATACACACATACGTATGACAACCACAATGCTAATACGTACGGCAAACACAATACTAATACGTATGACAACCACAATGCTATTACGTATGACAACCACAATGCTAATACCTATGGCAAACACAATACCAATGCGTATGACAACCACAATACTAATACGTATGGCACACACAATACTATTACGTATGACAAACACAATACTATTGCGTATGACAAACAATACTATAACTATTATATATGACAAACACAATACGAGTACGTATGACAACCACAATATAAATATAATAAATATAAACACAATAATATAGCTATTACGTATGGCAAACACAATACTTTTACGTACGACAAACAATAGTATTAGGTATGACTACACAATACTAGTTGATATGACAAACACAATACTAATACGGATGACAAACTCAGTACTATTACGCGTGACAACAATACGTATGACAAATACAATGCTAATACGGATTAAAAACTCAGTACTATTACCCGTGACAACAATACGTATGACAAACACAGTACTAATACGGATGACAAACTCAGTACTATTAAGCGTGACAACAATACGTATGACAAGCTCAATACTAATACGGATGACAAACTCAGCACTATTACGCGTGACAGCAATACGTATGACAAATACAATGCTAATACCTTTGACAAATTGAACTGATACAGATGTGTTTGCCTAGAAACGTTCTGGTATATAGCTATGGAGCTGTAACAGACAAATACAGGTATACATGACAAGCAATACTCTTATGCTGTACAATACAGGTACACATACTAAGATGCAAGGTCTTGTTACTGATACCCGCGATTTGAAAACTGCACGCTCATATACTCAAAACATGAAGTATTGATAAAACTAACTTCAATGTAATGCAGTTATCATTAAATAATGATTTGCAAAGCAAATTCCACATAACGGAAGACTGACACATACTTACCAACTGATGATAAATACAGATTGCTAGGAGTGTATTGTATGCTGTTAATGAGCTCATGTTTAAGGAAATGACAGGGAATCTCGAATTATTATAAATAATTATTGTAAATAGTTATGCATGTACATATGAGTCAATGCTATAGTTTCACATCACTATCACACGCATCAACTCGAGCGTCACACCGGTAATGGAACCGACGTCTAAAGTATCCAGGGTCTCTCATCCTTGTAATTCAGAGTGATTACAATGGTGGCCTAGCTGTGTCGAAGGTCAAGGTCACTCGTCAGTAAGCCCTTGGACGACATAGCAATAACTGGTCTAAAATGTTTTCTTTCAAGAAGAGAGACCCGGGTAACATTTTTCGTAATATTTCAATATTATGTGAAATATTTCGATAACGACATGTGCAGGAACCCGTTTTCCAGATTTCACATATCTGATTCCAAGTTTCTCACTTCTCAACTACGCGTAGCTTGTTTTGTAGTTACGTATACTGTAGCGAGCATGTTCGTATGAAAGTGGGGAGCATATATATCCGCTGTGATTAATATTCCAAGAAACGCGCACATTATTAGAGATAATTACACGACTCATTAAACATTGGTTATGTAGGTATGCTTTTGGAAAGCTCGCATGAACTATCATATTGGTATAAACGCATAACATGAAGGAGAAACTGTCTGACAGTGCCACCACACAGTGTTGAGTACGTGTTCATTTCTACAGATAGTACTGATGTTAGTAACTAACTGAATATTGCAGTAACAACAAAACATGCAGTATGGAGGGAATATAATACAAACATATTCTTTATTGAAACAAATTTTTATTTTCCAAAATGTGCAATCAAACACAAGTTTCAAATTTCAAGCATGCAGTAAGGGAGATATCAATATACTATGAAACTAGAAAATATATTGCTTACTCTACATGCAGCAACAGCGAGTTCTGTACCTTCTCTTCATCTCTCCATAATCTGTTAACTGAAGATATTATGTCAGATATACATATTGTACAGTTTATGTAATCGCTATTATCACTGTTGGATATACATAGATAAGGTATTCAGAATATATTCAAAGATATCTGTCCATTGTATGAATGGAGATTTGTGAATGTGTATTGATGTGAAATGTTTGCCATATATATTATTCTGTGGAAATAAAGATGGACAAAGTGTGCATTCAAAATAGGAATCAAAACTGTTTCAACAGTTGACAATACAAACTGCAAAATATGCAACCAACACACAGAAATAAACATACAGGCTTCAGAATTTTCATGTGATGACGTACACATCACTAGTAACTATGAGGTTCTTGAGAGTAGTGTTGGGGATTGGTTAAAATCTCATAATTGATGATTGGTTCATTACAACCGATCAATCATCGAAAATAATTGGTTAGCGTCATTTATGAAATTTGTTAATGCACATAAATTTAGGAAAAAAACATGTAGTTCTTTTTGGGCTTTTTGGCAAATTTCAAATCTTAAAAGGATGACTAGTATGTTAGGAACATATATTCCTTGAAGCCTTTAAGATAAATTCAATCATGACTTGAAACGAGCTTGTAGTCCTTACAAAATGCAACAGACAAAACCAACCATGTGAAAAATATTGTTAATGAAAACAAGTGTTCCAAAATTGGTTGCGTTCGATTATGAGAAATTATGATCGATTGCTTTGTCGTTTAGTCACTACGACCACTCTTCGATTATTTCAATTAATCGGACCACCACTACTTGAGAGACATATAGAAGTTGGTATTCAAGTATAAGAAATATTATGGATGTCAACTTCTTCTTTATTGTATACACAACGTTTCTGAGCTACTCATTAGTGCATGGGTGAATGACCCGACGAAGGGGCAAGGAATAGCCCAGAAACGTTGTGTATACAATAAAGCACTTGACATCCATAATAATATTTTGTCTTATACTAGTAACGGTGTTCACAACTCGAACAAACTGGAAATGGGTTCGTTACAACGGCTTGTTTGGAGATTACGACATCGATGTATCCAGTGTTATTGGTCACGTCATACATGTACAAGGCCGATATAGACGAATACATTTAGAGTATAGACAATGGTGAATGTGGTCTACCCGAAATATACTGATACTATGATATCCCATATCGTGTTCTTTCAACACGTAGTTAACGTATTCCGCTTTACTGAATAAAATATTTTTAGTTTTTAGTTTTTATAAATTGTGAGGTCCAGTTGCATTAAAATGTTTACTAACACAGTCGCATTAGTTTCTCTTGCAAATGTGGCATGACAGGGGTAATCAGAACGTGATTTATCGACAGTTCGGAAAGTGAAACATGCCCGATAGCACACATAAATAGAAACAATATCTGTTGTTATATAAGTGCACCATGGTAAAAGAAGGTGAAATTTTGTAAACACACACTCTCCGTGGTGTGCAGTATTGAGATAAGGCAACGCAGACAAATACTATCAGAGGCTGCACATATCATGGATATACTGAGTATAGCTGCTACAAAAAGATAGTTCACAGTTGTTGAGTGAGTGAGTGAGAATGGCTTTACGCCGCTCTTAGCAATATTTCAGCAATATCACCACGGTGGACACCAGACATGCTCTTCGCACATTGTACCCATGTGGGAATCGAACTCAGGTCTTCGGCGCGACAAGTACACGTTTTAACTACTAGGCTATGCCACCGCCCCTTACTGTTGTTGAATTCACCATACCGTATCATACGTAGAGGCAATCTCCACACGTCCCGAGGACGTAAACATTCACCAGTGACATATTGTGTAACGTATGA